TCGACGATGAGGGTGACGGACGGCCTGTTTTTCTCTCCCTCCCTCCCTCTGAGTATCTGTCCTTCTCCCCAGCCCAAGAGCCTACCCGTCGCTCTCTGTCCCCGGGGACACGGCAGGGCCTACTCTACAAGGCATTTCGTGAATCGACAATGGGGGTGACAGATACAAACGGACAGCCCGTTTTTTTTTTTGATCCCTTCTCAGTCTTCACTTTCATTCTCTCCTCTAGGAATACGCCTCGATACTACCTAGTATATACTATACGGGGGATTTTACGAATCGACGACCAGGGTGACACAGATGGACGGACAGCCTTTTTTTGGGATTCCTTTTAGTCTTTACCTTCATGATACTCTACTCTAATCTATTGACCGCTCTCTTCATGCGCCGACAACGCCCCCAAAATCACTCACGCCTCGGCGGAAGCCGTGCTCGAATTCCCATCCAAATGGACATATCCGCGCACTCGCAATTCCCCCCTGCTGCATACGCTTGAGGATCCAGAGATCCAACGCTCCGATCACGTCTGCGCCAATAACAGCATTCTCATCCATACTTGTAGGCACAACTGGGTGACTGGCACTCGCACCATCCAGGCCCATACCACCAGTTAGGACAGCAGCTGCACCAGGGTTGGAGGCAGAGGGAATTTGGCCTTCCACACGTGCAGCAAAGAAAGACCGCGCATCTGCCCACCCGAGGTTCCAGCCGTCGCTGTACCGCCAATGCTCAAAGTTAGCACCGGGCTGCGTGCTTGTCCAGTACGCCGTATGTCCGTTGAGTGCATCATGCGAGAGCTGGGTCTTCCTCTCGTCCGCTTGCGAAAGCCGGTATTTGATTTCTCCCACGGTCAACGTAAACTGCTTGGGGCATACAATCTGTCCATCATCGGTGGATGCCTTGAACCCCCATTCCCAACCAGGCATCCACTCCATCTTGAAAGTCCAGAATGCCGACCCAGACGCTCTACTCTGCCACCGCTGACTCTGAGCTTGACCAAACTGCCGCATCAGTTCAGCTTTCTGGTCAGCGGGAGCTTTGCTCCATGTCTGTGGCGCCAACGCAAGGCTGTACTCGCCGACGAAGACTGCCACGGCAGCCTGATGGGCGAAAACGTCCCCAACAAGACTCGGATCGAGTTCTTGCAGCTCCGTCTTGACTTGTTCGATGATCTCGTAGGGAGACCGCGACGTGTCTTTTTCATCAAAGGTCCAATATTTGTGCGTATCCACAATCACCGGGCATTTGGGCATGTCTGGGTTGTTGTATGCTCGAGTGAAACGTACAGCACGACCTAAATCCCATCCGTCGCTGATGTAGATAGGGAGGGAAACGTCCATGGTAGATATACGTTGTATGACATCGTTGTACCACTCATACATGCCCGGGGGGTCGATGATGGCTTCGTTGCAGACTTGCAGTCCAACCACACCCGCCAGTTGTGGGTCTCGGATCGTCTCATCCGCAATGAACATCAGGCATCGGGTCGCAAGCTCAAGGTTCAACGGGTTTCCCCATAGTTCGGCTTTCCCGCTGCTGGTTCCAGAATGGGTTTCGTGATTGGCACCGCCTGGAACGCCGTGAAGGTCGATCAAAACACCGATGCCGTGCTGGAAACACCGCCAGACGAGGCGCTTCACAGCGGACCATGCGTTGATATAGACCTGAGAGGGGGCCATGGCGAAGGCTGTGTTGGCACAAAAGGCTGGGCCCAACGTGAAATAGCCGATCGGCAGCCGAATTGAATTGCAGTGTGCAGAATTAGCCAGCCAGTCGAGGTCGTCGTCGGTGAGGGCTTTGGCCCAGTGAGTCTCCCATTTCTGGCGAGTTGCATCGAGGCCACGCGCGTTGATGGACCTGGGTGAACAGTTAGCAGAAAGAGCCTAACAACGTAGAGAACGAGTCTCCCCACGCAATGACGGCGTCAAGTTCACTGCTCCCCGGCACCCCTTCGTCGTACATGCTCCCGAACAGCCATTGTTCCAAGATAAAAATACTTCCTAGATTGGTCCCATGCTGATAGCGATATCGGAGGATGTCCTTTGGGGTCGGTCGAGTCGGTTGTTGGAATGACATTGGGGGAGGTTGGACGGGATATTGTTTCGGAGCTGTGTGCAATGGCCTCGTATTAGTGATCCGCTCCAATGGTAGAATATAGATAGATAGGTGGCGATGGTGAATGAAATGTAGGGATTGGTTGACTTGCGGGTTGAGGATGACGATGCCAGGTGAGAGGAAAGAAGGCGCAGTTTGAGGGGACAAGACAGAGACTCAGTCTGGCAGTTTGGTCAGGGACATCGTCACCCTCCTCAACTGCGCTCTCTACACGCCTCACTTCAACCTGCGCCTCAAGACAGACAAGACATACTTTCGGTCTCATCCTTGTTCCCTTCCACCGTCTCTCGAAGATCATTGAATGCCTTTTTTAACGCTTTCCTCATGGTTTCGGCCTGATCACTCGTGAACACGAGGCCGATGCAGAATGCGAGAATAAGTCGTGACGGTAATTAGTCACCGAGTCCTCTTCCGATGAGCAACACTCGAGGAGGTCTTTGAGAGTGGACGAGCACGAACGAGGTCTGTGGGGTTGGAGTTGAAGAGTGCCCATTGCGCGGCTTGTCTTGTTGCTTTTGACATGTTTGTCACATCTCACCAAGTCAGAAAATAGCACATCTCTTGGACATGCACTGTGGACATCTATCGTCGACCAATCGACGTGATGATATTGCTCGCTGTCCTCGGGCTTTGTGGTTTTACGAGAGAAGGACACGGAGAATAAAGATATAAGATATTTGTGACAGACTTTCGAGATTAAGATACGACGTGACCTCCATAACTACATCCTCGGTCAGAACAAGTCTGCCTACAGCATCTCAATCTTCGCTCCTTCTGGAAATGCACGATATATGCAAGGTATAGTGTCTTGTAATACTCTTCAATCTCGACACCCAGCCACTTAATTGGTTCCTCGAGGGGCATTCACCGAGATCCTTATCATTTCAGGCTTTCTCTCCATCACAGTCCTTGCAGACGGATGAACTGCTGCTGCTGCTGTCGCTGCTCCGCCAGTGCTCAGAGCGTCCCAATTCGGCTTCTCGAACGTGAGGACTTCAATATATCCGCAATTGTTGTGATTTTGCTGCTTCGCCCGTCTCTGCATAAGGACTTGATGTTTGCATTCACAGGTGAGAGGACTGTGGTAAGCAGGTTCAATAACATTTCTCTCTCTCCTGTCTCCTAGATGTACTACCGACTCTGCTGCTGTTCCTACATTGTTGTAATTCTGCCGAGGAATCAAGTCTGTCGCTCGTCAATTCTCTCGTCTTTGCATCACTCTCGCTCGAATCCTCCAACCCTCGTTGCATCGCGGTCCAACTGTTCCACGTTGTCTTGTCTTTTTCCCTCGCAGAGCTGCTCCATATATCGGATCGGTGTCCTTCAATCCTCGTGCTGTGTCGTACATCATCGTGAATACCCAAGCATCCAAGGTAGATCAGCACCACTAGTCACAAATACAGACAATACCACGGTTCTTATACTCATAGATGCTCAAGTGAAAATACCCTGACCTCAATTCCCCAAGATATGCCAGCAGCTCATTGGGCTTAGTTGTCTCGCGCCAGATCACGAGCGGTGTTGACGTCTGAAATACAAGGCGACACAGAGTGCCGAAGGGTTGGGTTCATCATCCTTCCAAGAGACAGGTATAGGTGGGTTCGAACCCCACTCAGTCAATAAAGGGCTGCGAAAGATCGCTGAGCCAGGGGGCAATGATGATAATCCAGCAGAAACCGGAGGCTGGTCTCTAGTTTTTCAGGAGTTAGGTCCATACTCGTGTCCTAAGTCAGAAAGACTAGCCAACGTACTATTGTGCTGTTTGCAGGTAGTTCATCACGCTTCTAAGAAACAAGTATCAACCTATACTCAGACAATGAAGGCTTGCGAAGGATCTCATGATAGCCATGGACAGACGGGAGGCGGGTTGCTTTATGCTATTTACCTTGGTAAATGAGTCGTTTTTTCACACGGGTGGCTTTGGAGGTAACACGAAAATGCCGAGTTCCAAGTTGGCAGGAAGCTTGTTCAGCATAATAAGGATGCGAAAATGCTTTGTTTGGCTTTAAAATAAGATAAGCTCGACAGGATATGATCCAGGGTCACTTGGATTTGTAAAAACGTTGGTTCAAATGTGGAAAGCATCAGTACTAATTAGTGGGGCTGATTATTTTATCGATATTTGTTGATTGGAAGACCATGGCTGATCCTTGTGTGCGCTTGTTGAACCGCGGGAAATGATGTACAGGCCTGCACTGGCCTGATTCAAGCAGAAGGGTTCAAGGGATATGAGGGCGGGATGGATGTGTGGAGTATAGGAGCAAAGGAAGTAAAGTCCAGCTTGTGCCATCCATAATGAACAGTTTAATACTTGGCAGATTTGCTAAACATGCCAAACATGCCAAAAACAGAGAGGCTGAGAGGAGAGAACTGCTACTGTTCACCTGTTTAACACCTGGGTCTGGATCTTGGATCTTGGATCTGGATAGATGAAGAATAACCCAGCTGTACACAGTCCAGTCCGTTCTCGCAGACCATGTCTTGCCGTCTACACATGCGCCGCGGCCCAATCGCTTTCTTACTCGAGTTTGTTGCTCCCACGGCATACATAGGTAGGTACAGGGGCAGGCAGCCTTGTAACGTGGACACATCAGCTCTATCGCCATATCGCCATATCGCTTACAAAAGTTCCCTTTGCCTCTCGCACAACGCCATTCTGTGCTGTGCCACGCCACCTTGTTGCGCCTTGTCTTTGAAATAGACAATAACCCCGGACAGGTAGGTCAGCACCATGCCTACCAGGACCACCCTCGCTCCCAAAAATCATCGTGCCACGTACATATGTACTGGCGTTTTAGGCATTTCCACCCAAGGCCACATCCTTATTCTCCTCTCGTTCCACTAACCAAAAACAATTCCACGGAACACCCATGGCAAGGGACCATTCACTTCATCAACAATTCCATCTGTTCTCTTCTTTTCGCGCGCATCGACATTGACAGACTCTGTTGTGCCATCGGGATGTCTTTGGCCTCGCCAATCCCCAGGGGATCCAGGTCGTCCACCAACGTCTCTACTGGCTCCTTGATTTCGCCGGTGGAGTTGTCCTTTTCAGCCTCTTTGCTCACGGCGGAGGAATCATCTTGCCGCTGAGGTTCCTCTATCTGTGGCCTGCTGCCCTGGCCTGGCTCCTGCGGCTTGATGAGAGGAGATAGACTTGGACTCGCCGGTAGCGGAGCTGCTTGTGCTTGCTGCCCGTGCGGGAAATGGTGAATCATGACCGTGCTCTGATCGGATGTAGACAGGATATTCGATGCTGCCGAATCGTCCTTAACGGCTCGGAGGCGGTCGCTCGTTTTCACATCGTCGTCACGGTCTTTCTTCATGACAAGCTCATTCGGTTGGCCTTGGATACTCTCCAATTCCTGTTTCGTCGATGAAGCAGCAGGAATGGGCGTCCTTGATCTCGAAAATGATTCTCTCGGCATGGGTGATGCTGTCCGAGATGCTGTCCGTGAAGGGCTAAGAGCAGATCCAGACACAACAGGCACCTTTGACCTATCTGCCACTGGCTCATGCACCTTCGAATGTAACTTGGGTGGAGGAGAAGTTGTCAATCCAATACTCGCCTCACTCGTCTCCAAACCTACGAGCACAGGGGTCCTAGCCCTGGACGTAGGTGCCGAAGCAGAGGATGAGTAGTCGAGCTGTGATCCACCAGCATCCGAGACAGACGTCCATAGCTCAGCCCCTCCTCCTTCGATTGCACCATTAGTTTGCGTTTTGATGGAGGGTTGTGGTTTGGCGTTCATTTCGTCGTCGGTGCGGCCAAAGAGTTCATTCCACCATCTTACCTCGTCAGGCCTGGGGAAGATAAGGCGTTCTTTGCCACGAATGTTGTCGTCAATAACCGGATCGTATTTGGGATTCAGAAACTCTTGTTTGCGGGCGAGAAAATAGTCCCAGACGCTTCTGGTGCGATCGCTAAGTCTGGCTTCCTTGCGTTCCCTTTCGTTGTCACCAAGGAATGTTCCATACTGACAGGAGTACAGATGGAAGAGGAGACGTCGAAGGAATCGTTCGGTAAACTCGAAGCGGGTGGGATATTGGTACAGCAGCTGGTACGTCGCATCGAGAAATTGGTGGAAAACGGGCGATGTCTCTTTTACCCTAGTGACCGGCTTCTCTTTCTCCTTCTTCGCTGCTCCAGACACAATCCGTCTTCCTGGTTGCGATTCCGAGTCATAGTTATTAGGCGTGTCCGCGTCCGAGTCCACATTGATCGATTCTCTCGACTCGTTGTTCTTGGTGTTGGAAAAGAATCCCTTCGCTGTCAAGAATGCGTTCTCAAAAGTGGCCATGGCTCCGCTCTTCTCTTCCTTGCCATCAACATCCTCACTCCCTCTGCTGATTCGCTCGTTCTCAATTTGGAACCACTTCTCCGAACTCAAAAATCCCGAACGATGTTTGAACATGTGGCCGAAGCTCAGCCAATCTTTTTCCACCAGTACCATAAAACCTTCCATTGTTCGGTAGTATGGATCAAGGCATATCTGGCTGAGAGATGACAGCTGGCTTGTTCTGTCCCAACCATCACTGCAATGAATCAGCACATGGCTGTGTTGCAACCCGACTTGTCGAGCGATTAGACCCGAGCCATCTAGAATGAGACCAATGTGTTTTAGCCAATTGCTCTTCTGTAGTAACTCCTGGTTGGGCCCCAAGGGAGTCAGGTCGGAATCCTTGAACGCGTCGATCACTTTCTGGAGACTATCTCGCATGACATGGATGTTGTCGATCCCTAGGTATGCCTTGGTAGCAAACTTGTAGTTGCTCATGTCTTCGGAGCCCATGCCCTGTGTCTGCATAACCAGAGCATTGATGGTGGGGCGTGCATCCACGATCATATTTCGCTGCTGCGCCCCGTAAACCAAAGGCCTTCTGTCCTCTGCACCATCTTGGGCGTCATCGTCACCACGAAACCTGGCAATGATGGCATCCTCAACGGCTTCAGCGTCCGCCTGCGAAATTTCACTATCCAAGACAACTGCGCAGGTAGATTCTTTGCTAGATCCGGAGTCCTCCCTCTCCGGTGGAGGCGAGTTGTAGGCAGATAGTGGTCGTTCAGCCCTGGTAGTGTTGAAGATTGCCGCAACGAGCTTTTCATCCTGAATACTCCGATTTCCTCTTACGCCAACCAACGGCTGAGATGACCTAGTAATGGTACAGTCATTGACCGGATGAAGATACGTAAGGACCGGTATCCTGGCTCTGGAGCGATATCGTCCTGCATAGTTCAGGGTGTTATCTGAGATGGTTGCCGGGACCGCAAGAACGGCAGGGTATGTTGGAGAGAAGCTGTAGTCCTTGTTGATGGTGGAGATCCTCCAGTTGGTCTTACGACTCTCGTCACCGAGGCCCATTCTCCTCCACTCCCGCATGGGATCATACAGAGCCCAACCCTTGCCGCCCACATCCTTTTCGGGTCCTGTGGGATGATATGAAAACGCGTACAGTTTTTCGATCCCGCTCAGCTTGCACGTCCAGGCTTTGACACTGTCGTAGACATCCCTAGCCTTCCGGTCATCATTGAAATAAAAGCAATAAAACGTGAAATCGCGGCAGCGCAGACGGATGGACGAAGGCTGCCGGGAGGCGGTAGGACTAGGCCGGAAGGTACAGAATTGAATGATGGGATATGTTATCCAATTTTCTCGGGGTCGAGTCGGCTTGCCGTTGGCGGCGGGAGGAGCGGCATGAACGAATATGAGGTGGTGAGGTGTCAGATGTAACGTTCCGTTGACCTGGATTCCTCGACGCGAGAGGGTCACATCGTCAACCTGTCAAGGGATACATTGTCAGCCTCACAAGACCCGGACTGTCGCGCAATAGGGAATGGATCATATAACCTTCGCGATGCGGGTGCGCTCCATGGCCATTTTGGCGTTGTGCTAGGCCAGGCGGCTGCCTCGCGGAACCATTGGCGGGGCTGCTGGGAAACGACGACTAAGCAACAAGGGAAGCAATCTAGCCAACTTGATCGGTAGAACTGAAAGACCTAGAAAAAGAAAAGAGAGAATCTAATGAGGGATTCGGGACGGACAACCACAGTGACTGAGGATGGAGGGTGCATGGGCAGGTTGGACAAACAAATCCACGATCGACGTCAGACGATAAACGGGCCGCCAGGGTCTCCGCATTCCACTTAGCGCAGCCTCGTCCAAGCCACGGTATGAGGTAGATATCTTCCACGACATATCAAAGGACTGATGATTTATGAATGGATTTTTTGTATTCATCGGTCAAGAGACAGATACACAGTGATTGTTCACTCGGCTCTGCACGACATCTCTTCAACATCCCCACGCACTAAAACACATCCCTTGATCGGAGACAACTGCTTTTTGAATCCAAGCCGTGGGTTTCCCATGTGGCCCTTCTCAGCGACAGAAATCCCAAGCGCTTCCTTTGCTCCCTGCCGCATTAATTCACAATGCAAATCCATTCGTGTCGTGACTAGTTGTACAAATTGCTCAGAACTTGAAATTTCCCAACATCCGTTCCGCGGGGTGGGAGGCCCCTTTTCATGCATGCTGACCCATTACTTCATGGTTCTGCTGTCCCTTTTGCTTGTCCATGCCAGAAAAACGCCATGCTATGTTCAAATGATTCCACAATGTCCATTCTAAGTTAGACATCAATCCAAAAGGAATAAGGCCGTATCTTGCCCGCTTGTCCTGCATGCGTAGCTTTTACTCACAAGAAGTCATCAATGTTCCGAAATATCTCGGGTGCTTCACCTTGTTGGTGAGGACTCCTAGGGTCAAATGGTGCTGGTATCTGACTCGCGACTGCGTATGATGCCGGCTGTTGTATCTGCCGTGGCAGCAAGACTCCCCTTGTAACGTTCTTACCACTGCCATTAACCACGGTCAGGTCTGCTGTGGTCGTGATGCCAAATGGGGATACCATAAATTCTGTGGCCCTCGGCGACAAGAGCGAGGAACCCTCGTCTGCTTCTGTGGTGGGATCTATCCTGGGTGAGCTGGTCACAACCCCTAATCTGGGTGTTTTGGAGGGATTGGAGAGCGGCTGGGGAGGTAGCGAGTCGAACTTCTCGCGGAATGGCAGTGGTCTGGGCGACACACTCTGTGGAGGGCTCTGGGGACGTGGAGGACTGCTCGATTCCGCTGCCGGCTCTGGGTCTGGCACTTTCGTGGTCGGGGGCGATTGCCTAGCAATACTTCCCAGAATCTGGCTCAACTTGGCTGGCGTAGCTATCGAATCTGCTCGTTCATTCCTGGGAAACAGTGGCACTGGAGGAAGGGCCTTATCAAGTCTCAGCGGTGGGGGTGCTTTCTCATGAGCGTCCGTGGCAAAAGCACCCGTCTGAGCCGGTGCCCGGTCACCGAGCCAGGAAGATTGCTTCGCGACTGGTGTGTCCATGAGAGGAGAGACCGAGGATGGTATCTTCCACCAGCTCGCTTTGGGGTTGTTGCAGTGATCGCCATAGACTCCTTTGACAACTTTTGACCGGAAGTCTGCCAATTGATAGATCAAGCTCATGTTGGGTCCGACCCATTCACTCCGTTGCTTCACCGCCATATACATCGAGTGGAAATCCGGCTGATAGCCTTTATACAGGCCGTACGCGATGACCAGTGAGGCTGACCGACTGACTCCTAATTGGCAGTGTATTAAGACCTTTTTACCCGCTTGTATTCTTTCATCAATTAGTCGACATAGGCAGTACAGATCCTCCAATATCTCCGAATTATGATCCCATGGTACATGTAAGTATTCGGGTTGTGGGCGCTGAGCGAACGAGTTTGGCCGAGGTGTGGTGGGTGTTGGAGTCTCATTGGGTCGAGGCCACTCCCAGGCCGACTTGAATGACATTTCCGAAATGGCGGTCTGGGGTTCCATCTCGAGCTTCGGATGTCCCAAATCAAAAGGGACTTTTATTTCCTTGGCAACATTGATGACCATGTCGAACTGGCTTGCCTCTTGTGCCGTCGGCTCCAAGTACAAATAAACTCCGCTGTCGTATATCAGGACAGGTCCCTTGGGGTATCCCCTTTCTTGAGTTTCTTGTGATTTCTGTGGGTGGAATTCGTCCTCTTCTTTCAACTCTGGAAGCTGAGGGTTGACAGACTGAACTGCATTGCTTGATTCCAACCCAGACCCGGACATAACAGTGCCAGAAGCGGGTAAATGCAGGAACAGCCCCCCAGGGGGAGGTTTGATAGGCGAAGCTAGGGAGGCGAGAGCCGGTGAAGACGCCATATGATGTAACGAGGGTCGAGAGCTGGGCGTTGGAGGCACATCAAATGCTCGGTTAAAGGTTAGCTGTTGAAAGCCAGGGGTCCTGATTGTGAGATTGGTCGGCTTTTTCCTTCCTGTTCGAGGAGTGTCTTTGGAGGGTGAGACGGGAGCGGAGAATGCATGGGATTCGAATCCATGTGCAGTCGAAGGGCGGGGTAGCACCACCGCGCTCATGTTCAGCGACAGGTTCTTGACATTCTTGGGGAGCTCTGGAACCAAGGCAGGCTTCGTTGGCAGGACGTTCGCGTTTTCTCTGATTGTCGGTACTGATTGCTGTCCAAGGTTCCCCGGGTGTTCTGTTGAGGGTCCAACCATTATGTTTCGGAAAGGGGATACGGGAGCGTTAGAGGAGGCTGATTCGGGGGACGAAGAGGGAGAAGAGTCTGTGATCAAGGGAGAATCGAAGGTTGAGTTGGTGGTCGTAGGTGAGGATTCTGTAGAGGCGGACGTCATGGAGGTGACGCTGTCGCGATGGTGTAAGCAGAGAGCAGAGTGCGGCACAGTCGAGTCTGCAGGAAGAGGATTTGCGTCGGTGACGAGGATTTGGGTGTCACTCTCAGGTATTGTCTCCGAAGCGGCCGTCAACTCTTCCATCGCCTTCAAGATGCTTGTATCGGGCTTTCCAACAATTGACATGAAGGACGGAAATGGTGTTGACATGATTGAGCCCACCTCGACCGGGGGCATATTCGAGTATTTGGTTTGGTAGTAGAGAGGTGGTCGTCTCTTGCTGGAGGACCCGGGGATTTGGGAGGATTCGACGCAGCCTACTGGCAAAGCCGTCGAAGCTGAGCCATGCCGAACACAGCGGCGGATTGTACTCGTGACGTCTTGGTAGTTGTTGGCCAAGTCAAAAGACCTTTTGCGCTGATGATTGTTAGCAAGAAAGTCCATTGAGTCTCTCAACATGATGACGAGTGGTGATGACGACGAAGGCGTGCTGAAGGACCATGGCACCAGCACATAAGTCTCTCCAGGTCAGACGGCAAGAGGGAGTGGCGAGGATTTGGTACTGACATACAATGACTGTGGTCGAAGTTGAGGTCTCAAAACAATCCAGAAGAGTTTAATGGTATCCGGAACGGTCAATCGCGGCGCAACAACGGTGAGGCATGCGACACAAAACAAAAGCGAGGATGGATTCCTTGTCCCTGTTGCAGCAGGTCCCCTAGAGTATCCCTGGAAGGAGAGACGGTGGTGGTTGTTTGTGCTGGGTTCGGTCCTCCGCAGTTTCAGATTCAGCGCGTATCCAAAGTGTGCGGCGCAGCAAGTCAGGCTTTCCTCCTTGGCCGCGTTCGTTCTCCGACGATGATGGCTCCACCAAAGTCACAGAGTGTAATACGGATTTGGGATGTGGGATTTTCGGTCGGGGAGTGACAAGCAACAGACTACTTGGTCGTGCAAAAGGCTATGGAGTGTATGCGCGACAGGAATCCGGAGTAGAGGAATGCGACCTGAAGGTCAATAAAAGGCGAAGTCGCAAAGGAGGGGGAGGACCAGAGACGATTAGTTGACAGCAACTCGGCGGCTTTTTCGTTCGAATCAAAGAAACCGAGGACGGGCGGCAAAGTGGAAGTGAAAGCGGCCTATGCGACAGGTTGAGGCTTGAAGTCGAGGACTGGTGGACAAAGAGTACTAGGTAGGAGTGGTCGGTAAGTGGTAGGGGTACTGGGTATTCGATGAGAGGTGGGCAAGAGTCTCGAGTTTCAAGCACCGAGTAGTGGGTGGATCCGGGTGCTTTTGGCCGACTGGCAAATGAGCAAGGAGAGAGAACGCGGGATGGCGCAATGTTGAACCGGGCCAGGTATAGACGAGCCCACGAGGGAGAAGTTGCTGGGGTGGAGATGGAGCAGAGGAGGGATCAGGGACGGTTGCGATCGATAGTCTGGATAGAGGAGTCGAGTGCGAGCAGTAGTGAGGATGATGGTAGGTGGTTGGGGACCAGGCTGCGTTTTTCTTCGAGTCTGGATTGAAGATGAAAGAAAACATACAGCAGCTACTACCTGCAGAGGAATACGAGTAGACCCAGGCTGCCCACCGGCGCCGCGGCCGTCAAACTGTCAGTGGGAGTCTCTTTTTAGGCGCTTGGACAAGATTTCACCTTTTGGCACAAGAAGCGAATCATAATGACATGTAACGATCAGGGCAGTTGTCGGGGCATGAAGGGGGCCAAAGGGATCAAACAATGATTGGTTTGGGGGCACTAGGGGGGCAAGTAGGAGCCACCAACCTGAAACGCAATGCCAATCGCCCAGGCACGCAGCACGCAGGCACGCAGGCCACCTGAACAAGGCCCCCTCCCCCCCAAAAATGCCTATTACCTGTCCAAGCATCCAGTAGGCTGATTGAGGCCCTGGGTGACCCCGTCATTGCTTCTATTTCTGGCCCTGATCCGGGAAATTTGCCGCGCGCATCCACTTGCCCATTGCCCATTGCTTGGTGCAATTATTGCCCAACATCCAGCTGAGAGTACCTACTCATACCTACATATTATTATTCATAGATGCTGCCCTCCAAACATAGCTCGCCGGTGATGTGTATATCCATGACCCAGCTCTCCTTGCCCAATACTCTCCCAGGAAAAGACTATGCATGCTGACCGAGTCCCTTTGAT